CCTTATTCCCTTCCAGCATGCCTGTCTACAACTCACCCGCAGACTTGTAAAACGACGAGACTTTCACTTCAAATGCACCACTGAAGGCGTCCGAGAAGAGAGTAGGAGGCCCTGTCGTTAAGGCGACCGTTAAGCCTCATCTTCCTCACTTGCCTCACGTTCCTCGCCCTCCTTACCTTCCCAGCCAAAGACTTTCGTCTTCTGGTGGAATCGACCTTAGAATCTCTTCACCAAGCACTTTCACTCGAAATGGAAGTAGGCTCAACACTTATGAAACAAGAGATTTCTCAAACCAACTTTTATTCGCAAAGACTTGCTTGTCGAACCACGTGAGGCATGTTTGTTGGAACTAAGATGAACCACGCCTTACCCTCCCATTTGACAGCAAAACTCGGCCCAGAAAAATTTGTGTTGATGTGCAAGTAAGTATGACAATAGTCTTTGCTTGGCAATCATTAAAGGCCTCATCGAGAGTTTTTCAAGGCTCTTCATCTGTTCCGAATTCTTGTTATGACTCGATGAGAAGATTGAATGTCAATTTTCCATGCCTCTTAAAGCGACAGAATCCACATCCAGACAAGAATATAATTTTAAATTCGTCTCTACGTCTCATCAGTACCTCAAGATGGCTCGAGTTGTAGAGATGTAGGCATAGAGGCAATAATAAGACTAGACCTGATCCACATTGGTTAATGCATCTGATTTTGCGGGGAATTTACGAATCAGTAGGTCACCTGACATGAGTCAGGTGTCTAAAAAGTACATACTACTAACTATGTTTGTAAGTAGACTGAAATATATCGTCAAAAACTCAATTGCCTTTCGATGTATTGAATTCTCCACACAAAAAGATCTCCTCAAAAAATAACATTAATTGAGGCAGAGTGTAGATTTTTGTCTGGAAAGTCGCACTTGCCGGTGGATGCAATGAGGCTGAAAGCGTTTGTATGCTCCATGCGGCCTCGGTTCGAGGTTAGCCGGAGGTGGAGATAAGATGATGAAGCAGGCGAGGTGGAAATGCCAGTCGAGAGTGGAGGTGAAAAGAGCCTTTTGAGAGACATTGCAGAATACGAATGTACAGACGTGTCGAAACTGGTAAACGGCAACGCAAAAATAGATGCAACGCCTGGCCGGCCCAAAAGACATTGGCGATGTTGGGGTGGCGCGTCGAGGCGACCTCAACAACGAGAGTCCTTCGAAAGTCTTTGGAGGGTTTCCCTTTTCACCGGGGAGACTGAGAGACCCACGAGCGGAGGAGTGAGCCATGCGGCTAACAGCATTGATCAATATAGAGGGGAAAAAAGTGAACTGATGTCTTGTTGGGGTCTTGCTTGTGCTACTGGTGGATGCAGTGCATGTTGAAAGAGCGGCAACGGATTGGGCGAGCGAGACATGCCCTGTCCGGAAAATGGGTGAACCAGATGAAGGAAAGCGGAGCACGGAGAAGAGGCCATATGGAGGGGGGCGCAGGACACAGAGAGCAAGAGCAAGAGCAAGAGCAAGAGCAAGAGCAAGAGCAAGAGCAAGAGCAAGAGCAAGAGCAAGAG